GCTTGCCAGGCAGGCGCTGTGCCGCTGAGCTAAATCCCCATCCCTTTCTTTTTATATCTTATTAGAATGCTCAACAATTATTATTTCTTGTAAATGCAACATAATTTAAAAAATATTATCCTTAATTATTTCTTCCTACACAATAGGTAGTATGTTGGTCTATGTGATTTGAGAAAAATGATATAGCATAAATCTGCAAAATACATAAACAACAATTTATAAAAATGATTTGTATAGCTATATTTTAACTGTTGTTAGTAATTTTATCTAAATACACTCATGTGTATTTCTATACTAATTTATGACTTGTTTGTTGCAATGAACTTATGAGGTAAGAATTTAAATGATCTTGTTTTAAAATTTTCTCTCTCAAATGAAGTGAAAGAAAAGATGAAAAATCAGATTTTACCTGAGAATGATACACATGCACACAAACATGATCCCCAAGGCTGCTGAAATTACCCCTACACCCTTGCCTGAAAGAAAATGTTTTGTTAAAGTGGTTGCAGCTCAGTAGTGTTCAAAATATTTTAGCAGCTAATCCACAAGCAGCTTAACTCAACAGGTTTCTTATGGCTCAAGTATTCTAATATTTATTCAGAATACATTTGACTCAGTCACTCTTTTTTAGGGGTTATCCATGTCAATTTGTAAACCCATTACACATATAATATGTTCATATTTCTTTTTAGCTGTTTTACTCTAGAAATCTCAGGCAATAACAAAGCTAACTTATAGTTTAATTTCTTTACCTATGATATGATGAAGTTCACATAAGTGATGCACAAAACATTATTTTGTTGATGGCAATGTAGAACAATATCATAGGATCAAAATATCAACTTTGCCTAAATAAATTCAATTTTCAATTTGCTTAGCCATGATAGTTGTTTACTTCAAAAGAAGAGAAATTCATTCTTAAAATTGGAATGACAAAAAAGTTGATATTTATCAAATTTATATTTTCTTTGCCTTACCAGGAATCTATATATTTGAAATAAGAGGTTGTCATTTTATTTATTTGAACAGATAGACCTATATTCTCTTTATTGTTCTTTTATTACTTTTTAAGTATAACATAGATATGAGTTTCATATGTGTTTCTTCCAGTATATGAACTCAAAATCTTTCTCATTAACTTCTCTCTACTAATTAAACACAAAATTCATTATGCATAAAAAGTTTCCAGATCCACACTATTCTCATACTGTCTAGCTCAAGGCTGTATGTCCACAGTCTTTGCAGATAGATTTGATTCTCTTCTGAACACTTGAATTAGGTTTTTTTTTTTTTTGGTTTTTCTCCGGTACCGGGAACTGAACTCACAACCTTGTGCTTGCCAGGCAGGCGCTTTGCCGCTGAGCTAAATCTGCAGCCCCTTTGAATTAGGTTTTTAAACAGTCTTAGTATTCTTTCCAAAACAGGCAGCTGGGGTAAATTTTATAAATAAAGGCAGTGAACATACACCTATTATAAGAAAACTCTGTTTTTTAACTGGTTATATTATAATGGCCAACTCAAGTTTAGGGTAAAATGGATATATTCGTTTTAAGTATGCTGAATGTTTTGCTGTTAGGGAAATTGGTAGGTGAGGCAGTGCTTAAACTTTCTAAAGATCCTTCACCTATTAACAAAGACAAATATATTTTCATGGTGTTTAAACAATGTTTCCAATTCTTCAGGCTCACCTTGTGATCCCACTAGTATTCTGGGATGTGCGACCAGCAATGTGATCTGCTCCATTATCTTCCAGAATCGTTTTGATTACAATAATCAGAATTTTCTTGCCATGACAAAAAAGGTTAATGAAAATGCCAAGATTCTGAGCTCTCCATGGATGCAGGTGAGATTGGTCTCATTCATCCTGAGGAAACTTAAGGTCTTTTTGGCAAGCCACATTTTGTATAGACAAAACAGTGAAGTGATGTTTTAAACACCATTGTTCTACCTAGAGCATTGTAGAGAAAACATCTGCAGAAGGCACCTGAGTCCTTCAATATACACACAGGAAAGTGAATACCTAAATATAGGGCTGGCATTCAAGCTTGTTACACCATTTAACCTTGATTTTTCCATTAAATCATAAAGAGCTGATTCTGTGAAGCACTTTGTGACCTGTAAAAAGGATGACAGTCTCATGCAATGGACATCATGGTACTTTTTGAAAAGTTACACCAAGAAAGCTATACTTTAATCAAACTTAGAGAGGTCTTCATTATATAGCTTGGAAGAAATACCACAATTTAGGCCAAAATAGTCTCTTCAAGTAGGAAAACTATTTAGGACAATAATAGCAATCAGAAATCACTGAATGGAGTATGAATGTTTCATGCACCTGCTAGGATCCTAGTTAACGAGGTAACACTGTTAAGTATGATGAGAAGATTGTTTTAATGGTGTAAACCAGAAAAATCATCACAACTCTAATTTTCATTGAGCTGGTATGTTGGGCAGCTCTTTACATAAGTAATAACTGTGAATCTGGCAAAGTCAGTTTAATGCTCTTGTGCACAACTGGCCTTTCAAGTATTTTTGAGCTGGTCTCACTCTAGAATACTGACTCCACGTCTAGGGCTGCTTGAAAGAAATAAAGACTGCAGTACTAGTTTTGGGCTCTAAATCATGTGAAACAAACTCAACTTTTGCTGTCACCTGTACAACTTAAATGCTAGTAATTTATGGCCTGTTATATTTCAAGGTTGTATAAATTGGTATAAAACTTAATTGATAAAAAATGTTTTCATACTAAAAATAATGTGTGTCTTGGAAACCATTATCACCTTTAATCTTTGGACAGAACCCATCCCCAGTCTTCTTACCAAGGTAAATAATTGCTGTATATTTATGACAAAAATTTTCCCTTCAAATTGACCACCTTCTCTATCTAATTCATAGGTGTGCTTTTTAATAATTTTGCTACATGTTGTGTATTTCTTCACCATATATTTCTTATTTCATAAAGTATTGTTTCCTTTCCTGCAGGTCTACAATGCTCTCCCTGCTCTCATTCATTATCTTCCAGGAAGTCATAAAACAATAATTCAAAACAGGGATTATGTAGGAAGTTATATTTTGGAGAAGATAAAAGAACACGAAGAATCATTAGATGTTAACAATCCTCGGGACTTTATCGATTGTTTCCTGATACAAATGAAGAAGGTGAATTGTTAACATATGCGTAGTTATTTTATTGCTTAGGCATCTTGTGTTTCACTTAATAATTTGGTATTTTCTAGGGATGTTTAAGTTGTCAGGCTAGTAATGCTTGGAAGGCACTACAAGTATTCAGTATATGAAAGAATATGAACTAAAAATCCTGGAATATATAAAATTAAATTGTTGTATAATTACAATGCATGGACCATTTTCTTCACATAAAAATAATCTAGCAAAGTAGAACAGAATGCACAGGGTAAGTGAAGAGGAAACCATTTCTAAAGGAGTTAGAAAACATGAAACTCTCATGCCATAATATGAAAATGGACATCATATTTGCAAATCATCTGTGGGAGCATAAAGAAGAATGGCTTGACCAGAGTGGCCTTCCTGCTTTCCTATAGCTCAAAATTGGCCTTGAAATACTTTCATAAGTGAACAGAAGAGGGAATTTTCTGTGGGCCACATGGTGTAAGCAGAGATGTTAGGTGGGAAGGAGTAAGCGGATGAAGGAGAGTAGACTCTATTGAATGTAAGTTCAAATGAATTTGATTTTTTTACTTTACATTCCTAAGAGATTTAGGTCTTATCTTTTGGTGTCTTTGTCTTACTTTGTTCTCAAAGTACCCACAGTGAGCGTACTAGGAAGTATTCACTCCTGTTATAGCTTTGGAATAACTAGAGTAAGATTGATTTTAATTCTTTGAAAACTTGTGGTAGAATTCACCAGTGCAGTCAGTCACTTGGTCCTGCACCTATCTTTCTTGGAAGTTCTTGATTACAAATTCTTTTATATAGGAATGTTATTGATTTTTGAGCGTTCACTTTGTTTTTATTTTATTTTATTTTTTATTTTAAAAGTAAAAGACAAAAACATATTAAGAAACAGACATCCATTTACAAAATAGCACAAGAACAATACAAGCAATACTGAATTCCAGACAAGGTGACAGGATACTAACAATGCTTAGTGTATTACATATTGATAACTTCATAGTGGTTACTCAGGAAAACAAATATAGACATGCAAGATGATCAAATAATTAATCATTAACTGTTCTTTCAGTAAAGCAATAGAAGTCGTAGTACAACTATGTTAGCTATCCTTTATATACATATTTACATAGTTTTCCCTTTCTTTCTTTTCTCTTTTCCCTCTTCCCAGTTGCTCTTTACTTTTTATATAGTGGAATATTACTCAGCTATAAAGAAAGATAAACTCAAAGCTTTTATAGGTAGATATTCACAACTAGAGACCATACTCATAAGTGAAATAAATCAGACCTGCATGTGCAAGCAATGTATAGTCTCACTAGTGTAAGAACCTGAAAGAGTGAATAAAAATTAGGAGGTTTGAGGGTTCACTTTGTATCCAGCTATGCTACTGGTGTTTGGTTATTAAATCCATAAGCCTTTTGGCAGAGTTTTTGGGGGTTTTCTTATCTAGAGAACCATGTCATGTGCGCATTATGATAATTTCACTTCTTCCTTTCCTATCTTTATTCCTTTTATTTCTCTCTCTTCTATAATTGCTCTAGCTAATATTTCCCAAACTATGTTGAATAGGAGTGGTGACAGTGGACATCCTTGTCTTGTTCCTGATTTTAAAGTGAAAGCTTTCAATTTTTGTCCATGCAGTATGATGTTGGCCATTGGTTTGTCATAGATGGCTGCTATCAGAGTGAGGTAAAGACCATCTGTTCCTATTTTCTGTACATTCAATATGTAATACACAAGAACAATACAAGGTGTTTTTTTTTAATCATGAATGAGTCTTGGACTTTATGAAAAGCTTTTTTTTGCATCTATTGAGATGATCATGTGATTTTTGTCTTTGGCTCTATTGATATGGTATATTACATTAATTGATTTGCATATATTGAACCATCTCTGCATTCCTGAATGAATCCCACTTGGTCATGGTACATAATATTCTTGATGATTTGTTGTATACTGTTTCCTAGTATTTTAGTGAGAAGTTTTACACCTATATTCACTAGGGATTGGCGTGTAGTTGTGTTTTTGGTTGGGTCTTTCTCTGGTTTGGGTATCATGATAATACTTGCCTCCAGGAATGAGCTGGGGAGAATTCCTTCCCTTTCAATTTCATTTAAGAGTTTGAGAAGGATTGGTGTTAAATCTTCTCTAAATTTCTTGGAGAATTCAGTTGTGAATCCATCAGGACCTGGGCTTTTCTTCATTGGCAAGCTTTTTTTTATTATTTTCTCATTTTCACAAGCTGATATTGAGTTATTCAGGATTTTTATATCTTCTTCATTCAGCTTTGGTAATTCATATATATCTAGAAATCTGTCCATTTCCTCTGTGTTTTCCATTCTATGAGAGCAGAGAATTTCAAAGTAGGTACTGATGATCGTCTGAATTCCTACTGGATCTGTAGTGATTTGACACCTTCCATTCCTTATTGCCTATATTTCAGGGGTTTTTTTCCTTATTTGATAAGGTTGTCTAGTGTGGCATCTATTTTATGTATTGTTTCAAAGAACCAACTCTTCAATTCATTATTTCTTTGTAGTGTTCTTTTAGTCTCTATGCATTTTCTCTCCTGAGCTTTATAATTTCCTGTCTTCTCTGGGCTTTGGGTTTGACTTGCTCTTTTTCTCTAGGAGCTTGAGGTACAGCATAAGATTGTTTATTCGTGCTCATTCTGTTTTCCGGAGATGGGAATTGACCGCTACAATTTTCCCTCTCAGGATTGCTTTCATTGTATCCCATAGGTTCCTGTAAGTTGTATGTACATGTTTGTTTGACTGTGAATAGTGTTTAATTTCTACTTTGAGGGGCTGGGGATTTAGCTCAGTGGCACAACACCTGCCTGGCAAGGGCAAGGTCGTGAGTTCGATTCTTGGTACTGGAAAAAAACAAAACAAAACAAAAAAACAAACTAAAATAAGATAAAATAAAAAATAATTTCTAGTTTGATTTCATCTTTGATCCATTGATTGTTCCGCAGGATGTTATTTCATTTCCAAATGTTTCTTGAGTTTTTGTGATTTCTACTGTCATTAATTTCCAATTTCATTGCACTATGGTCTGATAGTACACATGGGATAATTTCAATTCCTTTTCATTTAAACATGTTCTATGTGCTAGTATATGGTCGATTTTAGAGAACGTCCCATGTGCCGCTGAGAAGAATGTGCATTCTGATGCTGTGGGGTGGAACACTGTGTAAAGGTCTACTAAGTCCATTTGTTCTTAAATTTGGTTAAATTCTGTTATTTATTTGCTGACATTTTTTGTCTAGTTGTTCTATCTCTTTGTGACAATGGTGTGTTAAAGTCCCCTGTTATGATTGTGTTTCTATTTATTTCATTTTTCATGTCTGTTAAAGTTTGTCTTATATATAGCCTGTATTTGGTGCATAGATGTGTATGACTGTGTATCTCGTTCTCTTGAAGTTTTCCCCTCACAAGTATGTAGTGACCTTTTTTATCTCTTGTCATTGTTCTTGGTTTGAAGTTCACTTTGTCTGCAAACAGAATAGCTACACCCACTTTTTTCTGGGTTCCTGTCATGTGGAGTGTTGTTTTCCATCCTTTAATTTTCAGTCAATGAATTTTCTTTTGAGTTAAATGTGTTTCTTACATATAGCATATAGTTGGATTTTATTTCTTGACCCACTCTGCTAGTCTGCTTCTTTTGGTTGTTACATTGAGACCATTTCCATTAATGGTTATAACTGATACGTATTTTCTTATCTTTATCATGTTGTTTTCCTGCTGTTGGATCCTCCTTTTTTCCTCCGTTTAATTGTCTGCTCTGCTTGGTGGGTCCTTTCTGTTGTTCTTGAAGTTGTGGTCTGTTTTATCTCTTTCTAGAATATCTTCTAGTACTCTTTGTAGGGTTGGTTTGGTATG